ATAAAAATACAAAAATTAGCCGGGCATGGTGGCGGGTGCCTGTAATCCCAGCTACTCAGGAGGCTGAGGCAGGAGAATCACTTGAGCCTGGGATGTGGAGGTTGCAGTGAGCCGAGACTATTCCCTGTTCCACTGCACTCCAGCTGGGCAACAGAGTGAGACTCTGTACCAAAAAAAAAAAAATGAGCTAGGGAGGTGTTCCCTCCTTTTATATTTTTTAGAAAAGTTTGGGAAGGATTGGCGTTCTTGAAATGTTTGATAGAATTACCCAGTGAAACCATCAGGTCTAGGGCTTTTTTTTTGAGATGGAGTCTTGCTCTGTAGCCCAGGCTGGAGTGCAGTGGCACCACCTTGACTCACTGCAACCTCCACTTCTTGGGTCCTGGTTCAAGAAATGCTTCTGCCTCAGCCTCCCAAGTAGCTGGGATTACAGGTGTGCACCACCAGGCCCAGCTAGCTTTTGTATTTTTAGTAGAGATGGCGTTTCACCATGTTGTTGGATGGCTGGTCTTGAACTCCTGACCTCGTGATCCACCCACCTCGGCCTCCCAAAGTGCTGGGATTACAGGCATGAGCCACTTTGCCCAGCCAGGCTTTTCTTTATTGAGATATTTTTTATTAGTAATTTAGCCTCCTTACTGGCTACACGTCTATTTTGATTTATTATTTCTTCATGATTCAGTCTTGATAGGTTTGTGTTTCTGAGAATTTGTCCGTGTCATCTAGGTTTTCCACTTTGTTCGTGTACAATTGTTCATAGGACTCTTAGAATCCTTTTTATTTCTATAGAATTGGTAATAATGAGCTCACTTTCGTTTCTGATTTTAGTAATTTGAGTCTTTTTATTCTTAGTCTACCTAAAGGTTTGTAAATTTTGTTGACCTTTTCAAATAATCAAATTTTAGTTTTACTTGTTTTTTCTATTGTGTTTCTATCTTTGTTAAGCTCTGCTCTTACTGTTATTTCCTCTTCTAGCACTTAGGTTTAGCTTGCTTTTCTTTTTCTGGTTCCTTAAGGTGTAAAGTTAGGTGGTTAGTTTGAAATCTGTCTTTGTTTGGTTTGGTTTTTGTCTTTTTCTGTCTTTCTCTTTTTTCTCTCTTTCTCTCTTTCTTTCTCTTTCTCTCTCCCTCTCTCTCTCTCCCTCCCTCCCTCTCTTTCCTTCCTTTCTTTCTTTGTTGCGACAGCATCTCACTCTGTCACCCAGGCTGTAGTGCAGTGACACTGTCTCAGCTCGCTGCATCTTCTGCCTCCAGGGTTCAAGTGATTCCTATGCCTTAGCCTCCCGAGTAGCTGGGACTACAGGGGCGTGCCACCATGCCCAGCTAATTTTTGTATTTTTTGGTAGAGACAAGGTTTTACTGTATTGGCCAGCCTGATCTTGAACTCCTTACCTCAAGTGATCTGCCCACCTTGGGCTCCCAAAGTACTGGGATTAGAGGTGTGAGCCACCATGCCTGGCCTTGTTTTTGTTTTTGAGATGGAGTATCACTGTGTTGCCCAGGCTGGAGTGCAGTGGTGTGATCTCAGCTTAGTGCAACCTCTGTCTCCCTGGTTCAAGGGCTCCTTCCACCTCAGCCTCCCAAGTACCTGGTACTAACAGGTATATGTACCATGCCCAGCTAATTTTTGTATTTTTCGTAGAAATGAGGTTTAGCCATGTTGGCCAGGCTGGTCTCCAACTCCTGACCTCAGATGATCTGTTGCCTCGGCCTCCCAAAGTGATGGGATTGCATGAGTGAGCCACCGTGCGTGGCCATGAAATCTTATTTTTTTAATGTAGGTGTTTATAGCTATAAATTTCTCACTTAGTACTGCTTTTGGAGCTCATACATTTTGATGTGTTATGTTTTTGTTTTTCACCTCTAAGTGTTTTCTAATTTTCCTTATGATTTCCTCTTTCATCATTGGTGAAGAATGTGTTGCCTGTTTGTTTTGAGACAGGGTCTTGCTCTGTCACCCAGGCTGGAGTGTAGTGATACAAACAGGTTCACTGCAATCTCTGTCTCCTGCCTCACCTTTCTGAGTAGCTGGGACCACAGGTGCATGCCACTATGCCTGGCTGATTTTTTTTTTTTTTCTTTTAAAGAGACAGAGTCTTGCTATGTTGTCCAGGCTAGTCCCAAACTCCTGGGCTCAAATAATCCCCTATCCTGGTCTCCCTCAGTGCTGGAATTACAGGCATGAGCCACCACACCTGGCCTAAGAATGTATTGTTTAATTTCTACAAATGTGTGAGTTTTTCAGTCTTCCTTCTGTTATTGATATCTAACTTCATCCCCTGTGGTAGAAGAAGATACTTTGTATGATATCTATCTTTTTAAATCTACTGAGACTTAATTTCTGGCTCAGTGTGGTCTATCCTGGAAAATGTCCCATGTGTACTTGAGGTGAATGTGTATGCTGCTATTGTTGGGTAGAGTGTCCTGTATGTGTCTGTTATATTTAGTGGTTTTTCTGTATTAAGTCTTCTGTTACCTAGCCTCTGTCTTGTTGTAGCCATTATTGAGAGTGGCATATTGAGAGTGGCTGCTCTCGAACTTATGACTTTGTGATCTGCCCACCTCAGCCTCCCAAAGTGCTAGGATTACAGGCATGAGCCACTGCACCCAGCCCATTTAATATCTAAAATTATAACACTTTAGCTGGGCGCTGTGGCTCACACCTATAATTCCAGCTCTTAGGGAGGCAAAGGTGGGAGGAGAGCTTGAGCCCAGGAGTTGGAGACCTGCCTGGACAATATAGTGAGACCCCATTCTCCACAAAAAAAAGGAAAAAACAAAAAGACAAAAAATAAAAATAAATAAGTGTAACACTTTAATTTCAACTTACAGCAGGTTGACTTCAATAACATACAAAAATTCCGATCCTTCCAAGCCTTATCCCTATTTCTTTCTATTGTTGATGTCACAAAATTACATCTTTACATGTCGTGGACCCTAAAATGTAAACTAAGTATCAGTTTCTTAAATTGTGTAGAAAACAAAATGTAGGGTTGCAAAGTTACATTAATACTAGCTTTTAAGCTGGGCACGGTGGCTCAAGCCTGTAATCCCAGCACTTTGGGAGGCCAAGGTGGGTGGATCACGAGGTCAAGAGATCGAGACCATCCTGGTCAACATGGTGAGACCCCCGTCTCTACTAAAAATACAAAACATTAGCTGGGCATGGTGGTGCATGCCTGTAATCCCAGCCACTCAGGAAG